CTGCGGACCGTCCGGGAGCTGCAGCCGCGGACGCCCAGTGCTCGGTTTGTAGGCAGTGTCATTAGCTGATTGTACTGTGGTGGTTACAATCACTAACTCCACTGCCATCAAAACAAGGCACAGCATCATCCGCCGCCCGGCCGGGAAGAGGACGCCGGCTCTGGCTGCCCGCAGCCTTCGAGAGGAGAAGGTGCCTGAGAAGCGCGGCGTCGGCGTGGGTCCCGCGCTGGCATGCTTCGCGAGCGCCCGCTGCAAGTGCGAGAAAACCCGCGGTTTCTCCAGATACAGTTAAACTGTTAGCTCTCTCTCTAGGAGTCTCAGAAGATGAAACAGTCTCATACCAGGAAAGCGAAATCCCTGGAGGTGAAGCCCCTCCACCCATGTAACGGTTAATACTGTATATGATTCACTGTGTCTATTTGCCATTGTCTAGTAAGATATTCACCAAGCCAGCAATTCAGTTGATCTTCAACTCAACCAATGAATTGCCTGTCACAACGTGTGAGGGTACCAACTTGAGACTGCAATTTTTTTCTATGAGTCTAGTTACCAGGCAGTGTAGTTAGCTGATTGCTGATAGTACCAATCACTAACCACACGGCCAGGTAAAAAGATTTGGGAATTCACCCAAATGAGCTGCCTGTGCATCATCAATGTGTGTGGGGAAGAGGGGTGTTGGAAAATGCTGATTTCATCCATTGCCTATTAATTGCTCAGCCAAAATTTAAAAATCAACATTTTAGCTACTAAGAATACAGTGTATGTAATGTGTATGTATGTGGGTTTTTTTTTTTTCCCAATATTCCTTCAGGCTCTTAACGAAAATTTTAGATATAATGGGGAATATTATTTTTTTCTTAGCTGATTGATGTATGTTATTATATGAACATGTGATTATTAACTTCTTGAGACTATATTGTTACTAATATTTTGAAACAATAAAGTGCCATAAAGACATAAATTGTGGTTATTGTCATGTGTCCATTTCCTTTGCTAAATTGGCTTTATGATGTCCATCTCAGTTCCTGCCACAGTAATCTTAACTTTTCTATCAATGAAGTGGTTAAGTTGTTCCTGCCATGACAAAAATCTCCCGGGAAAGCTATTCACACACACACACTTGTTAATACTTTTATAAGAATACATTAACAAAATTTTTCATACTTTTTTTTTCTGTGAAGGGGCTCTGTCCATTCATTAAGATATATCCCTTCTTTTAAGTCATCATTTACAACTGTTGCAGTCTATGCAACTTTTAGTGGGAGTGATTAGTAAATGCAGTTACACTTAAAATCCAGATTGTTTCCTAAGATTTAAAGGATTCAGAATTTTAAAATCACACAAACTATACACATGGGCATATATCTGCCCAGTTCAGGTCTCTAGCTCCCAAGGGCTAGGCTTTCAGCCATGAATTCTCCAACGCAACGTTCTCAGAACTTCCACGTAGCAGGTGCTGTCCCTGGCAATCAGGTTCGGAAGGCGGTATTGGGGTGATGGGGCTGAGGAATTTACAGTTTATTTAGCTATTTTTGGCGGGGGAGGGGAGAGGATGTGGCAGGCCCACTGAGGATATAAGAAGCTAAAGTACTCCCCCACTGACTCCAACAGGACACAACCCAAAGTGTATGTTTTGACTCTTCCCTATCTACTCCAAGGTTTGGACTGGTCCCAAAACCTGATCACCACAGGAGTGGGCTTCCGACGGCCCCCACGCGCGTGGTGGATCCCAACACCTACCTAGGAAACCGAAGGCTGCCGGCAGGGGCTGGTACCAACTTGGCGGTTCTCGGAGGGGCGGGATGGGGGCGGGGCTGGGGGAGAGGCGAGGACGCTTGGAGGAGCGTCCTCAGTTGCCATGGAAACGGGACCCAGCGAAGAACCTAGCGGCCGAAAGGAGTCCCAGGAAATTTGCCCCCCGGGATTACTGGTATTTGCCGGCTCCTCAGAACAAGATGCCAACTTGGCTAAGCAGTTCTGGATCTCGGCGTCGATGTATCCCCCTAGCGAATCTCAGCTGGTGCTGCGCAGAGACAGCAGTCAGCGTCTGCCGGTGGCGCGGCGCCGGAGGAGCAGAGGGTCTGGTGAGTAGAGTAGTGGCCTCCTGTCAGTCACATCTGCCTCCACCGTAACCGGCCTGCAGATACCAGAGCCCCTTCCAGGAGAAATTGCAGTGGTATATACAAATAGTTACAGGTACACACAAATACATGTATAGTTCCTGAACCCTTCCAACAACCCTTCCACCCGAAAAGGATCAGTAGTATATTTGTTACATCTAAACACACATAAGTTTCCCTTAAATTATAGCATCTATTTGGTAAACAATATAGAATAATCTGAGGAAATGCTATTTGTTGGCTGAAAGGATAGTTTACACAGTTGAATTCAAATACACAGTTGAATTCAAACATGAAAAGCCCTGGAGAAAGATGAAGGTGGAGTCAACATTACTAATGAACTTCCTGGACCTGGAAGCCCCTAGTGAGGCCTAGAATGTGGAAACTGTTATGCAATTGTTATGGTATAAAAAAATTCAAACGCCTTTAATGTTGTGGTCTTTTCCAATGATTTCTTTACTTCCCTTTTGTATTTTTTAGAGAACAGTCACTCCTCGCAGTCTTCTCACCTTGTGAGTAACAACAGTAAGTACCAAGTTTTATGCCTTTCAGCATTCTGACTCCTAGGTTCATCAGAAAATAGGCAATAAGTACAAGGGTACTACTTTACACTGTGGTATAACTTTCTGAATTGCACACCTAAGTCCCTGCTGAGGGACCACCCTGTTTATCCAGAGGACAATGCCTAAATTTCTTTAACAGTTTGAACAGGAATGTAGAAATTGGAATCTCTGATCCTGCAGATATTTTCTCTTTTGAGACCTTTTCTTGTCTCTGGACTAGAGCTTACTCATCATCTAAAGAGATTAGAGGTTCCCTGCAGCCATAGCTAATTCATTCAGTCTCTAAATATTTGGAAATCTGGTTTATAAAGTTTCAATACACCACATGTACTTTTGTTTACCTTCCTACTCTATGTATTCCCTTTCAACCTGTATCCAATTTTATATCAATTTTAGTATAAAATCATGATAAAATTATTTCAGATTGAATTTGACTTTATTCCCTCTAGAAAATAGAAACATCTTTGCCGAAGCCCTGAAGATACAGGAATCTGAGGAGAAAGTAAAGTATCTCCAAAAGGTAGGCCAATATTTCAGAAGGTCATCTGCTTGTCATTAAATGTCTAAATAATCTTGACTTTTTAAACACATGCATATTTAAACATCTGCTACTTCTCGTGCATCAGCTTGAGCAAATTAAGGAAAACCTTTATTAGAATTTCAATTGAAAATTAAATTCTATTCAACATTGGCTATTATCAATCTCAGCAAAAGCCCAAGAATGTATAGGAACAACAGAACCAGAGAGAAACAGAAAGAGGTAGAGTCACACACTTTCCATCCAGTAAGGTCCCCAACCATATACAGTGTTCTGAGAACAGAAATAGCATAAGAGGCCAGGTGCAGCAGCACACACCTACAATCCCAGTGCTTTGGGAGACCTAGGCAGGAGGATCCCTTGAGGCCAGGAATTCAAGACCAGCCTGGGCTACATAGTAAGACCTCTATCTCTACAAAAAAAAATTTTTTTTAATTTGCCAGGCCTGCTGGTGCATACCTGTAGTCCAAGCTACTTGCGAGGCTGAGGCAGAAGGATCCTTTGAGTCCAGAAATTCAAGGCTGCCGTGAGCTATGAGCTCACCACTGCACTTCAGCCTGGGCGGCAGAGTGAGACACTGTCTTAAAAAAAAAACATAAGAACAGGAAAAATCAAATAGAATTGATTGTCTTAATAGGTCAAAATTAAATGATCAGAGGAATGAGTCTGTCATCTAGACCTGTTTTGACTAAAGGCTGGAATTAAACACATTGGTGTAGTCAAATCAGCTGAGCACACTAGTCTTTTTGGCAATATCCTTTGTTTGCTTTTCATGATACAGGCATGGCCTTTAACTCAGCAATTAATACAGTGATTTATAGAAATATTTTGTTTGATTAATGGATAAAGTACACTCCTGTAACTTTTCCTATACTGTAAAAGCAAAGATAGAGGATTCATTTTGGCTGAATATCTTTAATCATTGGACATATTGGCAAACTCTGAAAGACTTATCGGGAATTCTACATAAATTACAAAACAATGCATTTGAGTTTGTTGATCACATTAATTCACTTTGTGGACTACTGGTGATTCCCTCAAACAAATTAGGTAATTAGAAATAGTCAGCATTTTATTCTCTCTTTAGAATATTATGTACTGTATATTTATATCCAGACTATAGGGAAGGGAAAAGCTTAATTTTCAGTGAATTAAAAATCATTAAAAGTCAACTTCAGTGC